AAATTGCTTGATGAGGTCAACACACATCACTGATCGTAAAGGAATACATGTGAATGCAAACCATTTTTTACTCAAGTGAATAGCACTTTGACTATCACAATAAAGCACATACTTTTCTTGCTTCAAACCCAATTCTTGCAAAAATTTCTTTAACCATAACTCTTCTTTGCAAGCTTTTGTAATGGCAATAAATTCAGCTTCGGTAGTTGAGAGAGCAACACATTTTTGTAATTTAGATTGCCATGCCACAGCTCCCCCTGCAAAAGTCATCAAATACCCCGAAGTAGATTTCCTAGAATCAACATCACCGGCCATGTCAGAATCTGTGAACCCATCAAGCATCGGCTTACCATCCCCAAAACACAAACATACCTTCGAAGTCCCTCGAAGATACCTTAGAATCCATTTTACTGCTGCCCAATGTTCTTTACCCGGATTAGAGAGAAATCGACTCACCACACCAACGGCGTGAGCAATATCCGGCCTTGTACAAAACATGGCGTACATCAAGGAACCAACTGCTGAAGCATAAGGAACTTTCAACATCTCTTCTTTGTCTTTCTCACTTGTAGGACATTGATTCGAACTAAGCTTGAAGTGACCCGCAAGTGGACAACCAACCGACTTTGCTTTATCCATGTTAAACCTCTCAAGAACTTTCTCAACGTAGCTTTCTTGAGACAACCAAATCAGCCCCTCTTTGCGATCACGAACAATTTTCATACCAAGTATTTGCTTTGCCGGTCCCAAATCTTTCATAGCAAAAGACTAGCTCAACTCCAATTTCAACCTGTTTATCATGGTAGAATCTTGACCCACAATTAACAGTCATCAACATAAAGCAAAAGAATAATAAATTTACCATTCGGAAAATTTTTCACAAACACACAATGGTCCGAAGTGATTTTAGAAAAACCATTATTCATCATGAAAGAGTCAAATTTTTTGTACCATTGCCGCGGGGCTTGCTTGAGGCCATACAAACTTTTTTTCAATTTGCAAACAAATTTCTCTTTCCCCTTTTCCACAAAACCTTCTGGTTGCTCTATATAAATTTCTTCTTCAAGATCACCATGAAGAAATGCGGTCTTCACATCAAGTTGTTCAACTTCAAGGTTCATACTTGCAGCCATGCCAAGTACAACCCGAATAGAAGACATCTTCACAACTGGTGAAAAAATCTCATCAAAGTCAATGCCTTTCTTTTGCCCAAAGCCTTTCACAACAAGACGTGCTTTGTACCTCAGATTCTTGCCATCATTCTTCAATTTGAAGACCCACTTATTTTTCAGAATTTTCCTCCCCTTAGGCAACTGCACTAAATCATAAGTGTGATTTTCATGCAAGGAATTCAATTCCTCTTCCATGGCCTTCTTCCAATCACTTTTCTTTGCATGCTCAATTGGTAGCTCTCAGGGTCCCCTTGATCTGAAATCAACACAAATTCATTGGGAGGATACTTTCTTGAAGGTTGTCGGTCCCTTGTAGATTTCCTCAACTCAAGTTGTGGTGGCGGTTCTTGAGTTGGATGTTTTTCCTCAATTTATGGCTCAACTTCATTAGGATTAGCATCATCCTCTACATCTTCAATAGGTGGCTGTACATCTCCCCCATTTTCATCATCAACTGAAGATGAAGGAGATGGATCCATGTCAATGAGATCACTAGTTTTTGGCTCCAGTTGATCACCTTTGCCAAAGTCTTCAATTGTTTGGTCTTCAAGAAACACAACATCACGGCTTCGAATGACTTTCTTGTCGACCGGATCCCATAATCTATACCCAAATTCATCATGTCCATAGCCAAGAAAAATACATTGTCTTGACTTACTGTCAAGCTTGGACCTCTCATCCTTTGGAATGTGAACAAAAGCTTGGCAACCAAACACTCTCAAGTGCTCATAAGTCACATCTTTGCCGGTCCAAACTCTTTCTGGAACATCACCATTCAAAGGATAGGAAGGAGACAAATTGATCACATCAACCGCTGTCCTCAAGGCCTCACCCCAAAAGGATCTTGGCAATTTAGCTTGTGAAAGCAAACACCTTGTTCTTTCCACAATGGTGCGGTTCATCCTCTCGGCAACGCCATTTTGTTGAGGAGTCTTCTTAACTGTCTTTTGGTGCCGAATACCTTGGTTGCGACAATACTCATCAAATGGCCCAATGTATTCACCACCATTGTCTGATCGGATGCACTTCAATGTCTTCCATGTTTCTCTTTCAACCATGACCTGAAAATGTTAAATACTTCTAGAACTTGATCTTTAGTTTTTAGTAAAAAAACCCAAACTTTCCTTGAATAATCATCAATGAAAGTAACGAAATAAAGTGCACCACTATGTATTCTAACTTTTAAAGGACCACAAACATCCAAATGAATCAACTCCAAAACATTTTCTTTTTTAGAAGCAACATTTTTCTGAAAAGAAACTCTATGTTGTTTACCCGCCAAACAATGAATACAAGTTTTAAGATGTGTACCTTTCAAACCGGGTAGGAGCTCTTTCTTGAACAAAAGTTGTAGCCCCTTTTCACTCATATGGCCAAGCCGCTTGTGCCACAATTCGGTATAAGTATCATCTTGAAGTGCATTGACAATACCTTTACAAATTTTTCTATGCATCGAATAAAGTGTATGAGTCTTCTTGCACTTAGCCACCACCAAAGAACCCTTTGTGAGCTTCCATATTCCATCACCAAATTTGTTGTTGAAGCTTTCATCATCTAGCTTCCCAGTAGAGATCAAATTGAGGTGAATGTCAGGAACATGCCTCACATCTTTAAGCAACAACTTGCAGCCCAAATTTGTTTCCAAGCAAACATCACCCATGCCGATAATCTTGGACAAACCTTCATTACCCATTCGAACAGAACCATAATCTCCTTTGGTGTAGGTAGTGAAGAAATCAGCTCGAGAAGTCACATGAAAAGAAGCACCGGAATCAATCACCCAATTGCTCTCTTGGCCCATCAAATTGATACAGTCATCTTCACAAATGACCATGAGATCATCGGTAGTAACTGCCGTTGTGTCTTCTTGCTTCTTATCTACACTTTTGTCACGCCTTTTCTCCTTGTTCATGAGCTTTCGGCATTCTCGCTTCATGTGCCCTTTCTCATGGCAATAATAGCACTCAATGTCTTTCTTTGAAAAAGAACCATCTTTTGATTTGTCACGGCTTTGATCACGACCAGGAGAAGTCTTACTCCTCCCCCTTGTTTTGCTTCGGCCTCTCACAACGAATGCTTCCGAATGAGAGGAACCCGCTGATTTTCTTCTAGTTTCTTCATTTAACAGGCTACTAGTGACTTGGTCCATTGTGACAACTCCATCGGACGCCGAATTACTGACGGTCACAACCAAAGTCTCCCAACTTTTGGGCAAAGAACTAAGTAGCATCAAAGCCTGTAACTCATCATCAAAAATAATTTTCATAGAAGTAAGTTGGTTAACAATACTTTTTATTTCATTCAAATGTTCTGGAATGGGGCTGCCATCTTTATATTTTAAATTAACCAACTTACGAAACAGAAAGGCTTTATTTGTGGCTGATTTTCTATCATAAAGACTCTCTAATTTTTTTCATAAATCATGTGCCGAAGTTTCAGTAGCAACATGATGAAATACACTGTCATCGATCCATTGACGGATAACACCAATGACTTTTCGATTAAGCCTATTCCATTCATCATCTTTCATACCCTCGGGTTTGCCAGAATCACCCTCAATGGGTCCATATAAATCTTTACAAAAATAATAGGTCCTCCATTTTAGTTTTCCAAGTTACCCAATTGCTTCCATTGAAGCTAGACATACGATCCACATTCCCCTCCATTGAGTTACACAAATAAATAAACTCAAATAAACCGTAAGCTCTGATACCAGTTGTTAGGGAAAATATGTGATTCCCACAAGTAAATCAAACAATGGGAATAAAAACTAATGCGGAAAAATTAAATCAAAAGCAACACAAGAATTTTTACGTGGTTCCCTCAATGTGAGGTACGTCCACGAAATCGAAATCCGATTCCACTATCAACCAAATAAGTTTCCAAAAGATTTCAAACGAGACATGAAAGGTCTCACAAACCACCATTAGGTGAATTCCAAATAATCACAAATAAACAAGAGGAAAGACCTCACCAAATAGATGAACCAAAATCTTTAAAACCAAAGTTGTAGAAAATCCAAAATAACGAACCAAATCAAAACGAAAAATTGAACCAAACTGCTTCACAAATCAAATCACCAATTCTTTATTGACCAAGTCAAATCAAGAATAACAAACAACATCAATTGAAGCCCAAAGTTATACACACAGCACTGTTGCCAAAGTACTTTGCTACTGCCACTTTTTTCTTTTTCTCCCACGGGGCAAAAACATAAATAATATATATATATATATATATATATTGTTGATTAATGAGGTTTTCAATCAAAACCCTAGTTATATCCAAATTGAATTAGATTTTCACAAATTATATATAATATATATAAAATATATTATATCCAAATCAAACCAAATTAAAATTCTTTAACAAATCAATTGGATCTCAAACTCCAATAAGGAGATATACCCCAACACTGATGAGGATAGAACAGTGAGTATTGAGATCAAAGGGTGATGAAAGAGATATTTCCTCACTTAGCAGCAATGAGTGGCTAAACTTTATAATAGATGCTAGAGGCGAGTCTCGATCTGGAAGCATCAACTCACTGAAGCCCAAAATACAGAAGGTTCAACCTATGCTTCGCGAGGTTGAATCCAACAAGAAGTGCTATGATCCCTGGGTGGTTTCAATCGGTCCCTGCCACCATGGGAAACCAGAGCTCGAAGCTTGTGAAAGGATCAAAATTCGACTAGCACGACTGTATTTGAAAGACAGTAGTAAAGAAACGGTCCATGAATTATATAAGGAGGTGGTCAATGTGGCTGGTGAAGCCAGGAATGCTATGCTGAGGGCTTGACAGATTTCACCGATCAGTCATTTGCTCGGATGATGTTCCTTGATGGCTGCTTCATCCTTCAGTACATTTATGGCATTGTAAATGCAATTCCTGAGGTTTTGGATATAATTCACCATGCTCCTTTGGTGCTGCGAGGCTTGTTCTTGTTGGAGAATCAACTCCCTTTCATAGTGCTCCAAGTGCTAATGCGCTTGAAATCTGAAAAATACAAGGGTGAAAAAATGATCATGGCTTTCATCAAGCGCATTAGGGGCGAGCCTGGTGAAATAGGTGGGCTAATGGAAAAAATTGAAAACTTCTTTCAGAAGAATGTTTGGAGGACACAAAGCCATCGTGAGATGATGCAGCAAAGGAATTCTGAAGACAACCCCCCCATTCATTTTCTTGAACTTGTTCGCAGGCAATATATTGATTCAACAACTTCTTCCATCGGGTGTCACATTACTGACCGGTGATTGGTACACTCATCGGTCAGCCAGGGACTTCACGTCAGTTGGGATCCAGTTCAAGCCAAGCAAGACATCCCAATTGACAGACATAGATTTCATGTCTACATGCACTTCTGGGACTCTCCAACTTCCTCCAATTATTGTTGATGACATAACAAAGTCTATTCTGTTGAACTTGGCGGCCTATGAGGCCTGCCCAGATAGTGTAACTGATGTTGGTGTGACCTCTTACATATGTTTCATGGATTCTCTTATTGATCAGGATGAAGATGTGAAGGTGTTGAGGGCTAAGGGTATATTGATCAACTTTCTTGGTAGTGACGGACATGTGGCTGATCTTTTCAATGAGATAGCCACTGATTTGGTTCCAAGCCCTCATGCTTATGTTGAAGTTAAAAAGAAAATTGAAAAGCATCATAGAAACCGCATGAAGATTTGGATAGCAGATTGGCTTCATACATATTTTAGGAACCCTTGGACTTTCATTGCTGTCACTGCTACAATTTTGGCCATTACATTAAGTGTCTTTCAGACTATCCTTGCTGCAATTCAGACTTACCTCACTGCCCATCCACCAAAAGGTTGAAACTTTTGGGAACACTTCTCTGCCTTTGTTTCATTCTCTTTTTACTTGTCTACTTTGAAAGGTTTGCTTAAGATTGATAGATTTGTTTTTGCTTGAATTTGTTTGTGATGTGATTCAATTCTTTTATGTTTACATAAAGATTCTCTGTTTCTTTTTGTTTGGTGCAGCAAATTGAGTGGCGTAGAGGCTTTTTTTTTTTAATATTAAAAAAGTATTTGGTACAGTTTCTATTTAAATAAACTAAAAGAAAATTGATTATCCGAAAGCCAAAAGAGGAGTGTTTTTAAATTTTATTTTCTGATTATTAATTTTTAACTAGAGAAAAACTATACCAAACTGGCTCTTTCCATGCTTGTGAGCCTCTTTTGGCTTGCTTAAAGATATTTTTGAGTAATCCCAAATATATTAATTATAATTACATAAAAGTTGTGAAACCATATTGATAAATACACATCGGAATCGTAAGAGCATCTCTAGCAACACATTATTTTTTTTATCTTTTTATAATTTTTTTCACATTAGCCAACTTGTGTATTTCTCCAACCTATGTTTGAATTTAGTCATTTTGATTTTTATCATTTTATGTATTAGTGTGTAATCATTGGGTAGTCTTGGAGCATCTTGTGTATTGCCTATATCCGATGCTCCAAATCAATTTTATGTAAACGGATAACAAATGTAAAGTGTGAATCTAATCTAATGGAAATGATGAAAAGCAGATCTAAAAGGGTTTTCAGGACTCGAAATGATGAAAAGGCAGATGTAATAAGCTTATTAATAGCACTTGGTAGCTGGATTGTTGTTTATCCTATGGCTTTCTTCCAACCTGCGTGCTAGTGCTAACGATGGATGATTGTGAGAAGGTGTAACTTTGACTGAAGATGAGCCATCTCCAAGTAGGAGGGTAGTCCAAGGAGAAGAATCATGTGGAGGGAGCAGCAGCCACGACCAACCTCTGGCCATTGCTGATGAGCACAATGTGCAGCTGAGTGTAGTAATTCAAAGCCCTCCGAGCCCAGAGCCAGAGTCTTGCGATGAGTGGCTAAATTCCATAATGAAAGAAGGAGGCGAGTCTAGTGACTCCTCAAACAACACAATGCCAGAGCATAAGATGCAAGGAGTCCCCCAGAAGCTTCGGCAGATGGAGTCGAAGTTACGACAGGAATTACATTGATGTGATTGCGTCATAACTTCCAACATATTACCCATTACTTTGAGCACGTTAAATCATAACCGAGGTGAATGGTACCCATAATAGAATTTGCTGTCACTTTATAAAGAGAAAAGGACAAAGAAACATATTGTCCAGACAAAACTCATGATGTACGCAACTTGGATAGAAAAGTGTTTTCCCATCCATCTATTCTTTCTTTATTCCCTATCCAAAAATAGAAAATTCTATGTGATTTGCGTGTTTACTCTACAGCTTGTATTGTTAAAGTTTGTTAATTACATCATACAGATATCTCGACAAAGTTTCCCCCAACTCATTGTGGAGGAGCTCCTCCTACCCCGCCGATGTGGCAACTTATGATTGATTTCCTAATGCACAATTTAAATCCATTAATTTTTATTATCTCAGGTAGTAGTAACATTTATATAAAATTTTAGGAAACCATATACTAAATCCGACATATTTTAGGTAACCACTTGTACGAGCGCAGAATAATCTTCTCGTATAATCCTGTTGATCAAGTTTGAGCTCCTCCAAACGTCTTCGCTTTGCTCCCTGAAAACACAAACGTGAGCTAGCCGGCGGGTATGTGCCGGATACCTCTCCGATGTCTAAGTCAGCAAAATAGACAAAAAAAACTCTGTGTATTTAAGAGTCAGAATTGTGATACCTCTACATTGATTCTGTTGAGAGCTTTTATAGCTTTTGCCTGGCATGTAGAGTCCTCCTAGAAATCACACTCCTGAAAGATAATGTTTATCCTTCAACACCCCCTCACTGCTTAAACCAAGTGAGATGGTGTTACCCCGGTTGGACAACAGTATGACCGAACTAACACTAGCCCTTCGTCATACTCAATCCAGTGCCTTCCCAATTATACGACATAGCTCGGCTCTTATTTTACTTGTACCTCAATTTTGTCTGTTTAGACCGAGCTAACTGCAGCAAGTTCTGATCGAGCTAACAAGGGCAAGGTCTACCTTAAGAAGCCCAAGCACCTCGGCCCCGAATACTATGACTGAGCTAATTATCACCACTACGACCGTGGTGATTGTAACCATACTTGGACCGAGCTAACAGCCATGGTCCTCTTTGCTAAGCCCTTTTTACCACGGCCCATAGATCGACGCATTATTACGCCCGGGCCTAGCTCAGCCCTAATGCACATAAAAACTCCCTCTCAGTACTACAATTAAATCTCTATATAAAAGTATATTTCTTTCAACTTTCAGAAAGAACTCCATTGTATTTAGGTTTCTAAAATCAACCCTAATTGAATATTCTTATAGTTTTACTCTGCAAAACACAATAATCTTCGTCAAAGTTGGTGTTCTAGACATTTTGTCTTCTGTTATTTAGAATTCATATTTGTTTGCTTAGTCATTGCATTTATGGTCATTCTAATGTATTCTATTAGTTATTAATTTCAATGCCATTATATGATCTATCTCTTAATTAATCATGAATCTCATCTTTTTGGGATCTACCTTCCCTCCCCATTCTTTTATTCTTTCTCCAACAATGGAATATGCCCACAATTCTCACTAGAGTAATTATACTCAACAAATGCTTACAATCTACAAAAATTTAAAAATCATGAATAATAGAATTATGATTGTCAAATTATCCACTTTCATACCTTGTTACTTTGAATAGATCCTTGACAAATATTATTCAATGTGTTTGGTTTTAATTTTCTGAATTCAATTTTCTGAAAATTGAGTTTTTTGTTTTTCGTTTTTTGTTTTTGTTTTTAGTGAATATTTTTAAAATTTTAAGCAATTTTTGTTACCTTTTTAGATGTACCTTACTTAGATGTATCTAAATAGTTATGAATATGTTTTTATGTTATGATTCATTATAGGAACTCAAGTATAATAATTTTTTTTTGTTTTTTGTTTTTGAAAAGTTGAAGGAATTATAGTTTCATATAAAGATTTAAGTGTAAAAAAATATATTGATAACCTAAAATATATAGAATTTCTAAAGACACGTTTCCTTAAATAAATGTAAACGTTGACTACATAGTTTAGACTCAATTTGCTACAAAATTGAATAAGAATTAATAAATTTTGAATTATGTAATGGGTGGCCCAATCATAAATTGCCACATCTATGGGGTAGTAGTAGGAGTAATGGGAGGAAAACATTTTCACTTTCATTTTCACATGATAAGACCAGCACACCACCAGAGCTGTTCACATTCAAATGGCAAGGCGACCTAAATGTTCATATGAATTTGAATTTGGATCATGGTTTAAATAGTAATATATCTCAACTTCTGAATTTGGCATGGTAAGACGACCTAAATCTTCATATGAATTTGAATTTGGATCATGGTTTAAACAGTAATATATCTCATCTTTTGATATGTATGTGAAAAACATGTTGCCAGATTTACATAAAAGAAAAAGAATAAAAACCAAGGGACTGGATTTCTTTTTACAGAGTAACATGCAAAAAGAAAATGCTTATGACTTTATATAAAAAGAAAAAGATCATAAACAAAAAGAACCTCGATTCTTTCTTAGAAACAAGACCAGGAAAAGAAATGCTGAACTTCATTTTTTTTTTTTGATGAAGATTCTCAAACAGATAACACTTGTAACGGTGTTGATCTCAATCTAATACAATATAAGATAATTGCTTAAAACTGGAATTGTTAAGCAGATATAAGGATCATAAGATACAGATTATACCTCCTCTTGCTAGATTGTGTATCTGATTCTTAGGAGCTAGTAATGTAATTGAAAGCCATCCGACCCCACAGCCACAGCCCCGCATTCGCGATGCGTTCCGAAGTTCCATAATGAACACAGGAGGCGAGTCTGGCGAGACCGGTGAGTCCCCAAACAAAACAAAGCCAAAGCATAAGATACAGAGGGTCCTCAGATGCTTCGGCAGATGGCAACCAACTCCACCATGAAATACTACGATCCACAGCTGGTTTCCATCGGTCCCTACCACCACAATAATACAAACCTTGAATGGTTCGAGAAAATCAAAATTCAATTCACAAGGGCGTATGTCAAAAGTTGTGAACCACGATATTCCATAACTGAATTATATGACAAGGTTGCACAGGTGGTCGGTGAGGCAAGAAGTGTTAAAATTAATGCCATATTTACATTAGTTACATTGTATACATTAGATACATTGGATACATTGCATACATTGGATACATTGAGTTCATGTATTTTTATATTCATGTATTCTATATTTATTAGGTTCATTGTCTAGATTATATTCATGTACCTAGTTAGTTGTAAGGTTGTTTAGGTTCATGGATCTTATTCATTGAACTTATGTATAACCTTCTCTATATAAAAAGGATGTAAGCCCATAGGTAAAGGATATGAATGAGAAGAAAAATTCAAGATCAATACAAATTAAATTCAATACAAAATAATAGTTCATTTGAGAGAGAGTTTTATCAAAAGCTAACAGAAGTGGTATCAGAGCTTTGGTTGGGTCAAGAACAAGCTGGGCGTAAAGATCGGATACGGGAAAACAAGCCCCAAAGAAGAACAAGCCGACGTCCATGGCGAATTCCAACAACCAAAATGTATGTACTCTTATCTTTAATGGTGAAAATTTTGATTTTTGATATGTGAAAATGAGAACTATTTTTGTCTATATGGATCTTTGGGATCTTGTTGAAAATGGGTTTGAGGAACTTGAAGATAAAGGAGTTTTGACAAATCCCCAAAAAAACCAATTGAAAGAGCAAAGGAAGAAGGATTCAAAGGCTCTCTCTTTGATTCAACAGGGAGTTTCAAAAGCAATCTTTCCAAGGATTATCAATGCAACAAAAACAAAGGAGGCA